TGTCAATTTGTTAAGTCAACAACAGGAGTCTCTGTGCACTTACTCCTCATGTAGGATCTTTGTCCTTAATGTGCTGTACATAGAGATTTAATGCTATAACTAGTACTGAAACAGTATTTTACACTTTGTGTTTCTGTGTGGGTGCAAACTGTTGAAATCTTTACTTAATATATGCTAAACTGATCTTCTGTATATAAAGAGAATTGAAAATGAATCTTGATGTGAATGGAAGGGGGGAGGGAGAGGGAAAGGGGAGCATTGCGGGTGGGAGGGAAGTTATGGGGGTGGGAAGCCATTGTAATCCATAAGCTATACTTTGGAAATTTATATTCATTAAATAAAGGTTAAAAAACATTTTGTTTTTTAATGAACTTCCTGAGTTATTTTTAAATGTTTATAATTTTAAAGTATAGCTATATATTTATAACTTTGTTCATATTAAGTTTTAGCAACAATGAGAAAATTCCTTCCCATAAATCTATATGTAAATGTCCATATGGAAATATAGATGCCTATATTGAAATTTCAGCTGGTGTGTCAGTATTTCCTTTTGTATGTATGAAATTAATCTTTCCTTCATATCTCTTCTACTAATAAATATTATTGTCTGTTCATTTTTTACCAGTCTGATGTATATGAATCAATGTTATTGTTATCTTAATTTGCTTTTTTTCTGATGAAAAAATCTTTTCTTATGCTTGACACATCATTTTGGCTCTGTCCTTCTGTAATTGCCTTTTAATGTTAGTATTTCTGTATTTTTAATTTTTGTAAAGGTTTGAAGGGACAGAGACAGAGAAACTGGGTCAGTAGTGAAGTTGCTTGGACTTGAACCTGCACTCCTATCTGGGATGTAGGAGTGTGGAATAATGGCTTAACATGACGCACCACAGTGCCCACCTCTCATTAATATGTAGTCAAAAAGAGAGGTGACATTTTATTTTTTGTCACATGGCTAGCCAATTTTGCCAGGAATTTAAGTAGCACATTTGTCACACATTTGTCTGGTCTCATAAACAACCTGTTTTTATAGATATTAATATAATTTTATATATCTGTGAGAACTGATACATTTATAATGCTTACTCTTACAGTCTACAAGTATGTATATTTATATTGAATATTCCAGTCAGTAATAGTGCTACATCTTTCGATTATTCAGAGCGTTCTTAAATTCATTAGAAAATCTTTCCAGTTTTCTGTAGAGGTCTCACAGTTAATTTTGTTATCTTTTTCTAGGTGTTTTATATTTTATGTCAATGTAAACTGAATATGTTCTAATCATAGTAGTATTAACTAAAGATCACAGTTTATACAATAGTTTATTCTTTGTTATATAAATTCATTTTTCAAAATTGTAGCAATTTACCTGTTGATTTTAAAATTTCTGCATGCATAATATTATCTGAAAATTATCATGGTTTATTTCTTCTAATCCAATACTTATGCCATTCATAGCCCTACTGAATTGGCTAAATTATTAAAAGGATGGTGAATAGACATTGTGATAGTAAGTATCTTTGTCACATTCCTGATTGGAAAGGTAATATTTCTTTTTAAATGTATTTTATTTATTTGAAAGGTAGAGTTACAGTTAGAGAGAGAGAGGTCTTCCATCTGCTCGCTCACTCCCCAAATGGCCACAAGGGCCAGAGCTGCACTAGGTCGAAGCCAGGAGCCAGGCACTTCCTTCTGGTTCTCCCAGATGGGTGGCAGTGACACAAGAATTGGGCCATCTTCCCAGTGCTTTCCCAGATGCATTAAGAAGGAGCTGGATCAGAAGAGAAATAGAACTCAAATCAGCACCCACATGGGACGTTGGCATCTCAGGTGGTAGCTTAACCTGTTATGCTGCGATGCTGGCCCTGGAAAAAAAATATTTCTGTATTTTCAAATATACTGTATTATTTGTGATAGAGTCTCTATGGAAGCTGTATATCAACACCAGGAAATTGCTTTCTATTTTTTGTTTAATCCATATTGGTATTTTTTTAATCCTAAGTGTAAAATTTTATTGATTGAAGTTTCTTCCTCTACAGAAAGAATTATAGAATCTAAATATACTGTTTAAATTCTGGCTTAATTTCTATTATATTAATGTAGCCCTGTTGTTGATGTAGCAAATTGCATTGATTGGTTTTTAAATGTTAAGCAGATTTTGCATCCTGTGAATCTATACAGCTGAACTGTGATATACTACCTTCAGTATATTGCCAGATTCAGTTTATTGATAATTGTTTAGGATTTTTTATTGTTACATGTCAGTTCCTTTTTGAAATTTGTCTATTTCTGAAATGATTGTGTCTTTTTCTGTTTCTTTTCTAAAATTTATCTTTTGTCATGTATCTAATATTTGCCTGATTTTATTATTTATACTTTGGAACTTTTCTTCACAACTACAGTTGCTTAATAAATTTTAAACATTTGTGGTTGGCATTGTGGGGTAGTAGGATAAGCTACCACTTGTGCTGCCTGCATCTCATAGTGGTTTGCTAGTTGAGTCTTCTCATCTTCAAATCCAGATACCTACTAATGTGCTTGGGAAGGCAGTAGATGATGACTCAAGTACTTGGGTTCCTGGCACTCACGTGGGACACTCTGATGAAGTTACTGGCTCTACCTCTAGAATAAAAATGAATAAATCTTTTAAAAAATATTTGTAATGGATTATTTATTTTGGTTTGTACTGAGTGTTTTTGGAAATTGGCTGCAAATAATTGGCTTACAATCATATTTCATAAAAGAATTCATTATTGGCTCATGCCTGTCCTTCCTTTAAGTTATATATTTATAATAACACATCACCATGAACTCTCCATCTGACAAAATGCTAAGACTTTGAGGGCAGCTTACATTAAGGATATAGCTTCTATCACATCCTACATGGGAGAGGGAAGAAGTTCCTGGATCCTGGCTTCAGACTGGCGCAGCTCCGCCATTGCAGCCATCTGGGGAGGGAACCCGTGGATGGAAGACCTCTCCCTCCCTCTCTCTCTCTGTAACTCTGCCTTTCAAATAAATAAATAAATCTTTAACAAAAAATAAATTCCCTGGAGTCCATCAATCTTACTACTACTATGTATATTTACAATGGAAAAGACATCAAAACATGTAAGAGATATGTTCACTCTCTTTTATTTTGGCATTATTCACAGTTAAATTTGTGGAATCAATGTGTCTGTCACTAAATTAATGAATGAAGTTTGTGTACACACTTAAGGGATTATCATTGAGCTATAAAATGAAGGACATTCTGCTCAATTTTAGTTTCCACTAATGTGCTGTATCTTTTCCATTTTGTTACTTTTAGTGTCTCTGTGTCTATTGGTGGGGTATGTTTGTTGATTAGTGTAAAAACATTTGGTAGTCTAAACCTTTTACTTGAGGAATTCAGTCTGCTTACATTCAGGGTCATTAAAATTATGGCAGTATATGTTTGGACAACATGTACCCTATTAATTCAGAGTATGGCTATGGAATCAGACTGCCCAGGTTCAAGTTCTTCAGTTGCTCTTATGCTGCCTTGAGAAAATTACTTATGTTTCCCATCTGATGGGAAATAGTTCCCATTTTTAATAGGGATAAAAGTATCAATTTCACAGGTTTACTTTGAAGATTAAAATGGATAATTCATGCAAAGTTTTGAGAATTGTGGTATTTTTTTATAAGAGTTTCTTTAGGCCAATACTCAAAACTAAGAAAAAGTATTTATGATAAAATGAGGTCATTTCTATGAAAAACTGAGCTTTTTGATGTCAGTGTCAAATTTTGATGCATAAATTAAAAGGCTGTATTGTCATTCAATAAAATTTTTTGATTAAAAGTTTTTGTAATCTTAACCAAATATGATAAGTGCATATCAAAACTTGGATCTGTTGGGTGTTTAGAAAATCAAATGTGTTTAAATGAATTTTGTTAAGAAAATTTCTAAACTTTGAAGTAATTAAGTGCATTTCAGAGTAGGATTTTATCAACTACATTCTCAAATTTAGATTTTAATTACGATGTATTATCTATCTATATATTTATTTAGTTACAGGGATTATCCAGATTATGTGGGTGCAGTGTTTCCTGCAAAGATATGTAACACTCGTTATTCTGCAGGAATTGCAGTGGTATGTAATTATTTAATTTTATTTTTAAAATTTTACAAATTTAGAAATTGTCAACACAATAGTATATATGTTATGCATTTATATTTGTTTAGAAATTGCATGTGTTTTCCATGACTGCTAAATTTTGAAACATTACTAAGGAAAAATATTTTGTGGAAAAAATTATTTACCATTTACTGTATTAGAACTTAAATTGGGGTTAAAAATATCACACATAAATAACACATGCATTCTTCACAACATGGAATAGTACACCATGGAAAATTATGTTAAGGAAATTTCCATTACCCCAGTAGATTTTTGCTTGCACACATAAAATTGGAGAAGTACTCTTACAGATAAATAACTTCAAAATCAAAATAAGTAAATAAAAACTGCAATAATATTCTTTAAAATGTGTCAAGCGTCTAAAAGTGTAGAAAAGAAAATTTTGTGTGTATTAAATTTTTATATTATTTATAAATGTGTTGTATACAAAAAAATTGGTAAAAGTAAATGCATCATTGAAAGTTAATGTAACTCGGAGAGCAACAAGATGGTGGAATAGGAAGGGAGTACACTGATAGTCCGGGAAGAGACAGTTAAATAAAAGTGGAGATACTGCATGTTCAAGGAAGAGTAGGGGAAGAAACAGCAGAGGAAACTCTTCCGGAACTAGTGATGCACAGTGGACCTGTGTGGAGAGCGTGGGAGCCCACAGTTCATGACACTGGCAGCAGAATCAACACACCAGCGCTGGAACGCGAGGTGAGCCGAACCTCGGTAGCCCGAGACACCGGCGGGCAAGCGGAAAGAGGACACTAGAGGGAATGAGGCTTGGGGCAAAAAAAAAAAGTGACCGATATGGACACGAGTTTCTCTCTCTCCACTCACCTCTCAAAGGAGAGCAAGACAAAGAGCAGGCGCCATTTTGGACATACGTCATAAGTGGGGCAACCTCAGGGCTGCACCCGCCTTCAGCCAAGCAGAAAAACCTGAATTGGGGGGGGGTGAAATAACAAGAGATTAGGACCTAGTGAATATGTGGTGCTACTGGACTGAGACTGTGAAAAAAGAGACGGTGGGTGAGAGAACTCACGGAATTCAAGTGAGTACTCTGCAGAGATGCCACAATTCGGTAACCTTGGCAACCCAGTAGGAGACTACAGGAGAATTTGAGCTCACACTGAGGGAAGAACAGATTCCCTGTATGGTCCTTGGGAAAGAGCTTCTGATCTCTGGCTCCTGTGGGTATGTCATTCGCCTGATAACTATCTCCAATTCTGCTCAGCTGTGCGGAATTACTTCCCTTTTGAATCAAAAAAAAAAAAAAATTTACCACGCCAAACCTGGGAGTGTCACCTCTGGAATACCCTTAACCCTGAGGAACCAAACGGCTCTCAGGCCACACCCATCTCAAGCCTCTAAGGCTCCATCAAAAGCAGACAGTCCACTTAAGCTAGAGACATAGTATAATGAGAAAAACCACCACAGCGAGGGAAGAATCCAAAGAATATCTCCACAATGCCAAGCAACAAACGCAGAAACTGAGCAAACAAGAACAAGGAAGACATTATGACACCCCCAAATGAACACCCCAAAACAAGATTATGAAGATGATGAGATGGAAGAAATGCAAGATACCGATTTCAAAAAATTTATGATAAGAACAATTAGAAGTTTTCAAAAATGCTTGAGCTATGGAAATCCTTACTGGACAGGATAGAAAATCTCCTTCGAGAAAATGAAATCTTAAGGAGGAATCAAAATGAAATGCAGAAACTAGTAGAACAGCAAAGTGTGGTAGTGAAGAGTAATCAAAATGAAATGAAGAACTCAATAGATCAAATGACAAACACATTAGAGAGCCTTAACAACAGAGTCAATGAAACAGAAGAGAGAATATCGGACTTAGAATACAGAGAACAGGAAAGGATACAGTCAGACCAAAGAAAAGAAGAGAAAATTAGAAATCTAAAAAATATTGTTGGGAAACTTCAGGATACTATTAAAAAAACCCAACATTTGGTTCTAGGAGTTCCTGAAGTCATGGAGAGAGAGAAAGGATTAGAAGGCCTTTTTAGAAAGATACTAGCAGAGAAATTCCCGGGTTTGGAGAAGAACAGAGATATCCTAGTATAGGAAGCTCATAGAACCCCTAGTAAACATGACCAAAATTGATCCTCGCCATGACACATGGTAATCAAACTTACCACAGTAAAACATAAAGAAAAGATTCTAAAATGTGCAAGAGAGAAACATCAGATTACTCTCAGAGGATCTCCAATCAGACTCACAGCAGACTTCTCATCAGAAACCCTACAGGCTAGAAGGGAATGGCAATACATAGCCCAGGTACTAAGAGAGAAAAACTGCCAGCCCAGAATATTATATCCTGCTAAGCTCTCATTTGTGAATGAAGGTGAAATAAAGACCTTTCATAGCAAACAGAAATTGAAAGACTTTGTGGCCACTCGTCCGGCCCTGCAAAAGATACTTAAAGATGTGCTACACACAGAAACACAGAAACACAGTCATAAATGTGAAAGAAGGTAAAGGAAGGAAACCTCACAGCAAAAGATCACAGGAAGTTCAAAGCATATACTAGAAAATATCTCCAGGAAAATGGCAGGGCAAAGTCACTATCAATAGTCACATTGAACGTTAATGGCCTGAACTGTCCAGTTAATAGACACAGATTGGCTGATTGAGTTAAGGAACAAAACCCATTTATTTGATGCTTACGAGAAACACATCTTTCCAACAAAGATGCATACAGACTGAAAGTGCTGGAAAAAGATATACCATGCCAACAGAAATGAAAAAAGAGCGTGCATAGCCATCTTAATATTGGACAACATAAACTTTAACACAAAAACTGTTGAGAGAGACAAAGAGGGACACTATATAATGATTAAGGGATCAATTCAACAGAAAGATGTAACTATTATAAATGTATATGCACCTAATTGCAGGGCAACGGTTTATTTAAAAGATTTGTTAAGGAACTTAAAGGGAGGCTTAGACTCCAATACAATATTACTGGGGGACTTCAATACTCCACTCTCAGAAATAGATCAACAGGACAGAAGATCAACAAGGACACCTTAGATTTAAACGACACTATACCCAAATGGATCTAACAGATATCTACAGAACTTTTCATCCTACACATAAAGAATTTACATTCTTCTCAGCAGTACATGGAATCTTCTCTATGATTGACCACATACTAGGCCATAAAGCAAGTCTCAGCAAATTCAAAAGAATTAGAATCATACGATGCATCTTCTCAGACCATAGAGAAATGAAGTTGGAAATTAGCAACTCAGGAATCCCTAGAGAATATGCAAACACATGGAGATTGAACAACATGCTCCTGAATGAACAATGGGTCATAGAAGAAATCAAAAGAGAAATCAGAAATTTTCTGGAAGTAAATGAAGATAACAACACAACATACCAAAACTTATGGGATACAGCAAAAGGAGTGTTAAGAGGAAAGTTTATAGCAATAGGTGCCTACATCTAGAAATTGGAAAGGCACCAAATAAATGAGCTTTCAATGCATTTCAAGGATCTAGAAAAACTGCAGCAAATGAGACCCAAATCTAGTAGGAGAAGAGAAATAATTGAAATCAGAGAAGAAATCAATAGAATTGAATCCAAAAAAACATTGAAAAAAATCAGCCAAACAAGGAGCTTGTTTTTTGGAAAAAAAAAAAAAAAAAACACACAAAACCAAAATTGACACCCCATTTGCCCAACTAACTAAAAAAGAGAAAATCCAAATCAATAAATTCAGAGATGAAAAAGGAAATGTAACAACAGACACCACAGAAATGAATCATCAGAAATTAATGCAAGGACTTGTATGACAGCAAACAGGAAAACCTATCAGAAATGGATAGATTCCTGGACACATGCAACCTGCCTAAATTGAACCAGGAAGACATAGAAAACCTAAACAGACCCATAACTGAAGCAGAAATTGAACCAGTAATAAAGCCCCCCCCCCCAACAAAGAAAAGCCCAGGACCAGATGGATTCACTGATGAATTCTACCAGACATTTAAAGAAGAACTAACTCCAATTCTTCTCAAACTATTCAGAACAATCGAAAAAGAGGGAATCCTCCCAAATTCTATCTATGAAGCCAGCATCACCTTAATTCCTAAGCTGGAAAAAGATGCAGCATTGAAAGAGAATTACAGACCAATATCCCTGATGAACATAGATGCAAAAATCCTCAATAAAATTCTGGCCAATAGAATGCAACAACACATCAGAAAGATCATCCACCCAGACCAAGTGGGATTTATCCCTGGTAAGCAGGGATGGTTCAATGTTCGGAACACAATCAATGTGATACACCACATTAGCATATTGCAGAAGAAAAACCGTATGATTATCTCAATAGATGCAGAGAAAGCATTTGATGAAATACAACACCCGTTCATGATGAAATCTCCAAGCAAACTGGGTATGCAAGAACATTCCTCAATACAATCAAAACAATTTATGAAAAACCCACGGCCAGCATCCTATTGAATGGGGAAAAGTTGGAAGTATTTCCACTGAGATCTGGTACCAGACAGTGATGCCCACTCTCACCACTGCTATTCAATATAGTTCTGGAAGATTTAGCCAGAGCAGTTAGGCAAGAAAAAGAAATTAAAGGGATACAAACTGGGAAGGGAGAACTCGAACTACCCCTCTTTGCAGATGATATGATTCTTTATTTAGGGCATCCAAAGAACTCTACTAAGAGACTATTGGAACTCATAGAAGAGTTTGGCAAAGTAGCAGGGTATAAAATCAATGCACAAAAATCAATAGCCTTTGTATACACAGACAATGCCATGGCTGAGAAAGAACTTCTAAGATCAATCCCATTCACAATAGCTACAAAAACAATCAAATACCTTGGAATGAACTTAACCAAGGATGTTAAAGATCTCTACGATGAAAATTACAAAATCTAAAGAAAGAAACAGAAGAGGATACCGAAAAATGGAAAA